ACATATCTTATATATGTATTTATATATAAATATATAAATACCTGTATTTGTATATATATATATCTATATATGTTCATATAAATATGTACACACACACGTACACACACACACATATATATATATATATATATATATATATACTAACAAGCTGCACCGAGAAATTTTGTTCAGAGTAATGATTGCGCGTGAATAGCATAGCTGGAAAGTTCAGCAAAAGAGTGTCAGCATGCACTCAGTACAACTATACGCATCTTGAAGCATGTGTACACTGTAGCTAAGCAACGGATAACTTACACTGAATCATTAATCGGAGCAATTGCCTGGCCGATAGAAGAGGGTCGCTGCAACAGCGACTTCACCCAGCTCATCTCGTCTGAGTTTTATTTTGCATTTATATTCTTATATGCATATATTTTCTCATGTATACAGTCGTTCCTTATGGAGTTTATGCATATGCGAACCAGTATCATGAAGCAATGCTAATATGTCTTCATAGTATTCGACTTCACCAACATTATTATAAAGATATCTCAAGAACAACGGCGATGGATACTGGATAGTATGTAACGTTGTTTACAACAAGCTGGCTATGTAGAGTTCAGTAAAAGGTGTTCGTGTTGATATATTAAATAATAATAATAATAAAACCCAAAATAGCTGAGGTTAAATATATGCTTTTCAGCGCCTTTTATTGTTTCCTCAAGGGGGGGGCCACTGGGGGTCTGGGACTGGCCAGTGGCCGTGGGGCTTGGAGTCTGAGTCTGGGACCTGTGTTTGTAACAAATACTTTTTTAATATAAAATACGTTTGCGTTAGAACAACATAGCATTTACGTATACGGATATGACGTAACGGCCCTAAAGTTGTCTTTTTAGATGCGTGTTCTGAGTCCTGAGATGCAATTGTATGGTAAAACGCACCAACAGATTGTCCGTTTAATTCGCATAACATTAACGGTTTGTCCAGTCTTTTGGCCCGTAAATAAACGTATTTTTTAATAAAGATCGCTAGAGCAAAGGCAATTGGTTTGGGAGTTTCAGTTCAATCAGTTGGGACTGGGGACATCGTGAGTTAGCACTTCAGTCACAGTGCTCAGAGTTCACAACACAAGAGAGAGAGAGTGGTCAGTGGAGATTGGAGAAGAAAATATTTATAAAACTTTGTTGCGAAAAAGATTTCGTAAAATTCCTTCACACGACTCGAACTCGAAGATCTCTCATAAATATTTTTTTCACGAAAATATTTCTAAAGCTTGTTGAAATTAAAAGGCAGCAGGTCACGTCATCGCGACTTTTTAAGTTACTTCGGCTTTTCGGAGTTCCGATATTTTTGCACGACTCTCTTCTCTCTTCTGATGTGTCTTCTGATGTGTGAGAATGGGCATTCAAATACGGTTATAAATACATATCGATATGTGCATACATTCTTTTAAAAAAAAATGTTATGTACACGTACCAATATATATATATAACTTGATACGTGTATTACGCATCATCTTGTGTATACATTTTCATATAT